TCCAGGTGTGGTTGGATGTCACACATCATATACCATGAGCATGTTTAGCACGCGTAGCCTTGGTTCACGACTCGGTTAGCTATCTCTCAGTCACACAAACACATCTTTGCCTTGCATCAGCTCGCTGCTGTTTGGAGGTACTCGCACTGTAAAGAAACCCTTAGCTCCCTCTTCCTGACCCATGGAGATTTCAAGAGCTATGTCTCCACCGCTGATGATTGGGATTCCAGGTCTTTGTGTGTTTGTCACACAGATCTTCCTTCTAAACTTTACTTATTCCAATAAGGACATTTTGCTGCTTTCACTGGTTTAACACACCAGATTGAATCAATTAGATAATCCAGGGGCCCTTCCTGTGTCAATAATATAAATAATATTAATAATAATAATAATTTCAAATATAGTGCTTTTCTCAAACCCAAGTTCCAACAGCTAGCGAGGAGGGGTTACAATGACTACGAAAAGCCCAAAAAGAGTCGTTAGCCACTGTTAAAGTCTCACTCCACATCTACGGTGCATCACACAGGCAGCCGGTCCAGGAAGCCTCGAAGGCCGAAAATGTTGTTAGCCACGAAGGGGTAGCATTTTCCTGCAGCCAAACACCACCAGTCCAGGCAGCCTCATAGCTGCACTGCAGTGTCACTCAAGCAGCTGGCCAAGGCAGCCACGTAGCTGCGATGTAGCGTCACTTAGGCAGCCGGCCCGAGAGGAGGCTCCTAGCCGCGGCATAGCGCTGCCCATGCAGCCGAACACTGCCGGTCCAGGCAGCCCCGCAGCTGAAGTGCAGCGCCATGCAAGTAGTCGGCCATCCAAGCAGCCACATAGCTGCAATGTAGCGTCGACCAGGTCCAGGCAGCCTCGTAGCCGCAATATAGCATCGTCCAAGTGGCCGGTCCACAGCTATGATGCAGCACTGCCCAAACCCAAAGTCCAAGAAGCCCCGCTTGGAAACCACATCAAAGCATACACAAACAATACAAAACAAAACAAAACAAACGGAAAACCAATGTAAAGTGGCAGCCATATTGTGTCAGTGTACTTACAACGGAACGCATACGCACGTGAACGCACACTTGAATTGTGAGTTTATGAAGAGTTTTGGGGCTGGGGATTCTCCGATTGAGTCAATCATGTGTCGACTCCAAAGCCCTGGACTCCACACAGAGAGATACTCGGGGTCAGAGATATTCTGTTGTTGCTGCCTAGACAGCCTGTCTGAAATATACATATCATGCTCAGCTCAGCCAGAATGATTACTGTGCTCTTCATTTTTGCAAGATGTGTTTTGGTGTTGTGGAGATTCTTGTGTGGAATTGTCTATCGATTCTTGTCAGTTGGAATCAGAATTGAAGTCGACTCTGAATTCTGGAATCAAACAGCCGTAAGGTTTTCCGTGCACCTTTTTAAAGTGATATTTAAAGGTTTGCATAAAGGTTCAGAGGGTGGTGGTGAAGTGGGACAGTGACTTCAGCCCTTCTGCCATTAAATGGGCCACTGACCACTCCACTCCACCTGAACGCATCTCTGAACTCTTAGAGCTCTTCAGCCATGTACAGCCAACAGAGGACCATCAAACTGCTCTACCGAGAGATAATAAAGGTCTATTGAAAAAGGTTTTCTATTGAATACGCCACGCATGGTCAGATTATGTTTTAGGATCAGTCATAGTGCTCTTGGTCAACGAGTTGCATTTATATATTTGTTTATTTATTTATTTATTTGTTACAAGTGAATTAGAGATACAAAACTATAGATATTTCTACCAATCTAAGTTCAGACCATGCAGCTAGTGTGTCTTTGGTCAAGTGTAAGCGTCAGTCTGTTTTACTGAATGTGTTGTTTACATCTGTCAGTTATGAACTGGGCGGAAAAAACGGGAAAAATCCTTTACAATTGTAAAGGTGATTCCAAACAGGAGGGTTGAAAAAACAAAGCAACATTTTACTTACAAAACCTCAAATATGAAGTACCAAAAACACAACTGCATCATGCTAAATCGTGCCAGGCTTTAAAAAGAAGAATTAATTCATTCTCAACGGCCCAATTTGGATGGGATTAAATGTATATGGGGTCCTGGGCTGAGTTCTTCTTTTACAGGTGCTAACAGGTTATTTTATTTTCATCCAGATAGGCCATGTCAGTGTTCTTCTCCCTCCTCCCCTGAGAAAATTACAGGCAGACTGTTTTTCACAGAACTCAGCAGCGCTCTGATCATTGTAGTCCCGCCCGAAAACACATCTCTGTGATTTTTCCAGGCGGATGTCACCTCCCGTTGGAAAAAAGGGTTTGGTCGCTGCTGCTTGCTGTATCTCCTGGCAAACGGATCCATCTTAAACACTTTTCAGAACGCTAAATAATATATGCTTTGGAAGCTTTGAAAGAAAATGCAAATATTTGGTTTGGATGGTAGAACTTTGTCTCATCTCTACTCTGTGTGAGCGTTAGCAGGAGCAGAGAGAAAGAACAGTCACTAGCCACGTTTACATGCAGCCTTATAATCTGTTAATAATCTGACTAATAGCTCAATCGGAATAGAATACGTCCATGTAAACACCTCAATCGGAATAGTCTAGTCTGATTGAGGCCATTCGGAACACAGTTTGTATCCGACTGATCGAGGTGGGTAATCCTGTAAATAATCTGTTAAATAGAAGAATAATATCCGTGTAAACGCCTGTATCTGATTACATTCCCTATCAGAAAGTTTAAGTCCGTTCTGATCATGTTCGTCGCGTCATAGTGAGAGTTTATACCGTTCAACATGGCGGAGCAGAAACTGGTCTGCAGAGGAGACGAAGTTTATGCTCTGATCTTTAAAAGACGGCGGTGGGACGGACGTCCAGCTTATGTGTCTCAGAACACGACGTCTTCCTCTCGGCCTTCTTTAATAAGGACATGTGAAGGACGTTTTCCTGAGTCTGACATTTTAAATTAGTTAAAAACTCCAGTGCGCCAACTGGAAACTCATCTCACTCAGACTGGAGCTCACGTGATGCTCGCTGTCATGGTAATGTTTACACACAGTGGTACTCATTTTGGATCGGGTTACTTGAAGTGAGCATGTAAACAGAGATTTTCATCATATTGTTGTTGAGTAGAGTGAGAATAAACAGCTCAGTCTGAATCTGTAATCGGAATGTATTCAATCGGATTGGCAAAAAACTTTGCATGTAAACATGGTCAATGAGAAGAGCGAGATCCTGCAGGCTGATTGCAGAGCTGATTATATTAGAAGCTGCAGGTATACAGCAATGCTTTATAATCTTATATGCCTAATATCATCAACATAGTTTTCCATGATTATAACAATGTCTGTAAAACATCCAGGGGCCGGATTCACAAAAGCTGTCTTCAGAAAAAACTTGCCAAGGGTCTTAAGAGAAACACTATTCATCAGTAAGTTCTTTCTTAAGTGTGTTCTTGAGAAAGATCCTAAGAAAAAGACGTCAGATTCATGACGTGTTCTGGAGTGTGTTTAGATCCTGTTCTTACCTAAGAACAAACCCCAAATACGAAAACACTGGTGAATGTCAGAATCTTCGTGAAAACTGCGTAAGAAATCTCTTCTTAAGATCGGTTGGTGAATGAGGTCTAATGTTCTTGAATGCAATTCTTGAAAAAAACGTGAGAAGTTCTCAAATATTCTCTTAAGATAATCCAGATTATTTTCTTAAGATTTTCTTAAGAAAATCTTCATTGTTTTCTTATGTAGGCTGTGCTGCATTTTACCCCGTACCATAAATAATGCAAGATACAGTTTGAATTCGTATTAACTGTTATTTTCGTTATTTAGTTTAATCCACTCAGAAGAGCAAAATGGAGGAAAAACATCAAACCAAGCATTTAAAAAACTTTAGCAAACAAGATCTAATGTGAGGGTGATGGCAGAAGAAACAGCAGAGGCAGCGACTGTGATAAAATTAGAAGCTCACCTCGTCGACCCTCACAGTCTGAGACGAGGGTGAGTCTGTCGCAAGGTTAAGAAAACATTTAAGAACATAATATTTTAAAGAATAACGCTTGTTCTTAGAATTTCTCTGAAGAAAATAGTTAAGAAAAGAAAATGAGACAATTCTTAAGAAGTTATTTGAATAATAAATTTTTTTTTCTAAAAAAAAAACACATTTAAGATTTTCTTTCATAAGACGCTTTTGTGAATCCGCCCCCTGATTTGTGGAAAATACAACCCACTAGAAACTTGTTTGTCCTAATCGTATTGCTGTCTAGATATGAGAGATGAAAGACATGAAAAAATGTTATCAGACGTTCTACTGATAAACAAATTCAATCTGAACAGGGCTAAAGACACACCTAACACAATGAAAGCTTCCATTTATGGCGAGAGCTTCATCTTCAACCTAAGAAGATGGAGTTTGTGAATTGCATGTAGATGAGTTAGACCTATCAAAGGAACCAAACACCCATTTGCTGTGACACCACAACTACAGCTAACTGGCAGTCTGGCCACTGTGTTCAGTGTTCAAGCCTCAAGTCAGAAAGTCTGTTTTTCTTGGCCTGCTGTGATTAATAGAAAGCGATCAACTTTGCAATCACAATTTTGGATGTTGGTCAGAAAAAATAGATATTGTCCCTAAATCGTTCAGCACTGTCCCGGAGTGTTGAGTTGGTTCGTGTTTCCCGTCAAGCCTAGTTTAGCCAACTGATGTAACAACGACTCAACCAGTTGTCAAGTGCCAGTTCTGACTAAATTACTGTGAATTCGAGCCACATTTCGTTATACACTGAGAAACAATGATGCTCTCCACTCAGGGAGCCCACTGAAGGTCTTTTACTGCCTCAGGCAACGAGTGCACAGCACTTTCAACCCCAGAGGTCTTCTCAGCCCAGCAGAAGCGCGATTGAAAGTGAAAGGAGCCCTGAGTAAAAGACCCGCTGTGACTTTCATGCCGGATATTTGACTTCATTGGACTTTCTTTTCGACCTCTCTCCTCTAAATTCAGCACGAGTCCTCATCTTTCCTCCTTTTCTTCGTTTTCTAGAACGTTCCTCAGCTTCCGTGCGGCAAGGCCCTCTACAGCTATGAGGGGAAGGAGCCGGGCGACCTCAAGTTCAACAAGGGCGACATCATCATCCTGCGCCGGAAGGTGGACGAGAACTGGTACCACGGGGAGCTAAACGGGAGCCACGGTTTCCTCCCAGCCAGCTACATCCAGTGCATCAAACCCCTGTCCCAGACACCCCCGCAGGGCAAAGCGCTCTACGACTTCGAGGTCAAGGACAAGGACCAGGACAAAGACTGCCTCACCTTCACCAAGGTAAGCTCCTCTGTGCTTTTCTCATGATTGGAGGTCACTGCTTTGCTGTGTTGAGTCTTATGTCCAGTGAGGTGATGCTGGGTGTCTGATTTTGGTGAAAGGCCTGAGTTATCTGATACCAAACTGTGCCAACAGTCATTCGTGCACATGGTCATAGTGATATAGAGGTGTAATGATAAAATGAAGTCCAATACCACATTTTTCATTTTTTACATTTTAAAAGTGTCCTGCTGTAAAAAGCTTTGATGTTAGCTACTGTTTAACAGGGCTAATAGGGTCTACATGTCTAAGGAACGTCATTAACTGTTGTTTTCATTATAATCAGTTACCAACTGAAGAGAAAAACATGAAGCAGCAGAAATGAAACATTTTATTTGTAATTAGTGCTGCTATATGTAATATGACGGTAGGCTGCCAGGCAGAGGAGCTAATTTTCTTAGATTTGTTTCTGGTAGCAGACTTTTGCCATATGAATCTTTGACTTAAAGTCTCAAAATAATAACTTATTCATCTGAAGTAATTACTTATATTCAAAAATGAAAACTGATTAAAACTAGGTACGGCAGACTTTAAATGACATGAGACAAAATCCTGAGAAAATAAGCCATCATTTTAACATAACCAGCCTAATTGTCAAGAAATAAGTAATTTTTTTAACTTAATCTTTCAAGATCCTGCGCAAATAAACCATTAATTTGACAAAATTGGTCAAAATCTAAAAAACATGCCAGCATTGAGACATAATTGGAAACATATTCTAAAAAAAATCAAGTATTTTGACATAATCTGTGTAAATCTTATGCAAAGAAACCAATATTTCAAAATAATTAGTCAAAAAAAGCCTTTATTTCATCATAATTCGTCAAAATCTAAAAAAACATATGCCTGTGTTGTGACATAATCAGTCAAAATCAAGGAAATCAGTCAAGAAAATAATGCATTTTGATCTGACTTAATCAGACTAAATCTTGTGCAAATAAGGCGTTATTTTAACATAATCGTTCAAAGTCTAAAGAAAATAAATGATTATTTTGACATTATCAGTTAAATTATTATGAAAATAAACCATTATTTTAACTTAATCTTTCAAAATCCTGAGCAAATAAGCCATTAATTTGACATAGTTGGTCAAAATCTGAAAAATACGCCAGTATTGAGACATAATTGGTCAAAATATTAAAAACTAATCCAGTATATTGACATAATCTGAGTGAGTGTGCAAATAACGATTTTTACAAAATAATCAGTTAAAATCAGGAGAAAATATTTAAAAAAAATAAGCCTTTATTTCATCATAATCGGTCAAAAACTAAAAAAAATGCGAGTATTACAAGATAATTGATAAAAATCTCAAGAAAATAATGCATTTTGATCAGACTTAATCAGACTAAATCTTGTGCAAATATTATTTTGCAACATTAAGTCAGAATTTTGTGACGCTGCTGCCTGAATGATGGGAATGAACCTCTAAATGAATCTACTCCTCTGTCTGTGGTGAGAATCCGCGCCTTGTTCCAGATGAGATGTTGTCGATCTCTCTACTCGTCCCTCCTAAATCATGCCTCTTCGTGGTCGTGATCTTCATCCCTTTCTCTCTTTGTATGCCGGTCCTCCTCCCTCTTTCTCTCTTTCTGATGAGGAATATTCTCATCCCTCACCTCCAGACCTTCTCTCATTACAGCTTCATTAGAAGAGCGGTGCGTGTAATTACACACTCCGGCTTGCATCAAAGAGCTTGTCAGTCTGATAAACTGGCCGACCGCAGAGCTCCTAACCACGTCCCTTTCAGCTGGAGTTTCCTTCCCCGTCGATAGAGTTCGGCCTTTCACCTCCTGCTTCCCTCTGTGATGCTAATTTTGGTTCTGGACTTCCTGGTGTGAAGAACCAATTATTTCTGCAGTTTTTTAGCGAGTGAGAACCACCTCAGGTGGACGCTTTGCCAAGAAATTCATTTGTGCAGTTTTCCGCGAATGCAGTCGACCAGCCGAGACATGTTTGGTGTCTGAAATTCGCTTGTTTACTTTTAGCACTGAAGCTACGAAGCTAATGCAGCTAACAAGTAATGGATGTTTATACCCTGGTATTAGCATGGTGCTAACTGCATCATGGTTCTAACTAAATCATCACAGACTTGCTTCAAACTGTGCTGTTGTTAAGTAATCTGTAATAGACTTGCTTGTGTGGTTTCTGACACTGTATGACTTCATTTGGCTTTTTAAGTTAAATGTGTTAAGATGTTTATCCATCAGTGAGTGCGTTTACCTGCACTTAATGATCTGATGACTGCAAGAAATCAGACATTGTCAGTTTACATGCACCTGTGTAATCAGATAATGGGGCAAACTCCAGGTCTACAATAGTCAGGCAGTAATCATATTTATTTGCTTTGCAACCAGCCAATAAACTCACAGAAGAAGACGGGACATAACGATGTGATGTTGCCACTTCGCGGGTGCTGTGTTTTAATGGAGCTTGCTGTTTCAGGGATAGCTCTACCTTCTGTTTGTGCACATTTGCAGACTAAGAAAAATGAAAGAAATCAGAGTAAGGGTACCCTTGCCCTGAAAGACCTGATTACGGAGCTAAAATCCAGCTCTGTTTTTCAAATTACTTGAAATGAGATAAAAGCCTTAATCCAGTCTAAGAATTTGGAGCATGCTATTTACCTTGACCACTGAAATAATCAGATAAGTGCCGAAATCTGATACTAATCATGTTATTGGTGTACATGTTAACACACTCAGTGTGACTAAGCAGAGTCTATACTTTAGTCAATATGCAAGTTTCACTGTTGGTGAAATTACTTATGCTTTTATTTTGGTAGCATCGTTCAGCAAGTTGGCAGTAGTAGGTACACCCACATTTTGTGTAGTAACCATGTTGCTTAGCAACCATCAGTGTTACATGTTTTTACATGAACGTGCACTGCTAAAACAAGTCCTGATTGTGCCTAGGTTTAACTTTGGTCGGTGTAACAGGCATAGAGTCTACTGGGATTAATTTAGAAGTTGAGACCATCTGTTGGTGCAACCAGCCACAGATTACTAAGCCAAAATCCAGGTCTCTTTATCAGGTTTCTTGAAATCTGATAACGTCTTTAATCCGATATAAGAAATCAGAGAGTGCTGTTTACATGAGCACTTAAATAATCAGATAACTGCCAAAATCTGATAATGGCTGTATTATTGATGTGTATGTAAACATACTGATTATTGCCGTCTTATTCACTGTGGGAAGAATGGGCAAAGCCTTGAAGGAAACCAAACAGGGTTCCTTCTTGTCCGGCAGCTGTAAGGAAAGCCGTGCTTCTGGCACGGAGCGTTTGGCATGGTGGCCAGGTAGACCGCAGCCCTGAACAATGACGGGTAATTACCACTAACTCCGACTCACGGCAGAGCTTTTCTTTCATCAGACTCCTCTGTCTCGCTCCGATATCATCTGCTCCCTCTCTTTTACACACTTTCACCCTGCCCTTCTTCGCCCCCTCACTCTCTCATTCACACTCTCTCTCTCTCTCTCTCTCTTTCAGCCCCACACACAGCAATCTCACCGGAGAGAGACGCACTCTCTCACTCGCGGTGTAAACACCTGATTTGTATTCCCAACCGCCTTATCTTCCACTTCAAAAGTGCTCCATTTTGTTGCGGCTGTTTGTCTTGGCGGTGGCGGGACTGGGCTGGAAACCCTGGCAGACCTTCAGGCATCTCTGGAGGAAACGGACGGGGAAAGAAACCATTGGTTTGCACAAAAGAGCAGCTGGACGCTGTGGAGCACAGAGAGCATTCATATATGTGTGAGAAAAAGTGAGAAGGCCGGTGCTGTGCATCCTAAAATGTGGTCTTGGGGTCTTCCCTGAGCAAATAATGCAGGATCTGTTCCCTCCAAGGGCTTCCAGTTCCTGTTGCAGTTACCAGTCTTCTTAATACCTGGACTTTCTATACATATAGCTGTATTATCCATGCTGTCTGATACTACTGATGCCGACTCTTCCTGAATATCTCACCCCACTGTTAGCATGTTGTGGTATTAGCAACAGGAGTGCGGAGGTTCAAAGTGGTGATTAGGACCAGTCACAGTCAGGGGGAGGTCTCAGAACAAATGATGTTGTGTTGAGGACCAATCACAGTTGAGGAGAGGTGTCATAATGAACGAGATGGAGTTTAGGACCAATCGCAATCAGGAGAAGGTGTCAGAATGAACAAGATTAGGATCAGCTGCCATCATGAGGACATCTCAGAACAAATGATGTGGTGATTATGACCAGTCACAGTCGGGGGGAGGTCTCATAACAAATGAGATGGTGATTAGGACCAATCACAGTCAGGGGGAGGTCTCAGAACAAAGCTGCCAGTCTTTTAGGGCTGAGTATAGAAATGTAATGCTTTGATGGTACCAACTAATCCATTTAATACCAAGTTTCAAAACCTAACTATACAGTCTCAGCATCCCTGAGCCAATCAGCATGCTTGTTCCAAAATCTAGCTTACTGATTGGCTAAATTACATTCCATTTACATGTTACGAGAGTTAGCGCTTCATGATTACTTTATAATCTATTGCAGTCAGTAAATATACTCATTTCTAGCACAGCATCCCACCTATTTTCCATCACTTCCACTTCCAGTTGGTAATTTGAAAAAAGATGTAGGAAAAGAGTTCATTCAGAATTGGATTTTCGTCTTCGTAGGTGAGCAACCAAGCGCTGCTGTCGGGACAAAACCTCTTATCTCCATATTTGTCGTTTTTCACTTTTTGAAATAATTTGAAAATGCCTGTCGTCCTTTACATTGTGTATGAATTTCATGATGAATGGAGCAAAAGAAATGTTGTTATGGGACGTCAGGGAGGCGGACCCAAATGCAGAGAGGAAAACCTGTGAGAAAGGGTCTTGAATGCATTTATTGAGGTGATGGAGCGATTCTGAACTTTGGGGTGAGGTGGCTCAGAGCTAGGCTCAAACCTGCCAATGCACTGAATGGTGGTCAGTTACCAGAGGAGTTAAAGCTGCGCCACCGGGAAGCACAGGCGAAAAAGGGAAAGACACCTCAAAGAATGGGAATAAAAAAATGGCGGGAAAAAGGCAAACAAAGGGGACGCTGAAAGCAGCGCTCAAACGAAAGGATGAGATATAAGAATAAAATAAAAGATAATCAGAAAACAAACACTTTTTGTATGGCTTGGAGCCGTTCCTTGTTTACGCCTTCGTTTTGTTTTAAGTACTTTATCTTCTTTCTGTTGTTTTGGGACAGTTTCTCTTTTCTTTTGGCCTAAATTCCCACCTGGGCTAAGTCCCGTACCGGTCACCCCTCTACAAGGGTGTGACAAAGAGCTGCTGTTTGCCATAGCCTTGAGTAGAGGAGTCCACAGGTGTGCCAGGTTGTGCCTAATCAGTCCGATAGCTTCTGGGAATTGGAGTTCCCTGAACTTGTGGCGCCTCGCTGCTGTCGCCCTCTGCTGGCGTCTCATCGGCACAGGCTGGACCCTTACAAAAGGCCCAAAATGACTTGGAAAAAAGTCTGGTTCCATTGACTTACAGTAAAAGTGAAGAAGGTTTTTTCCTTCTCTTGTAAAGTTACCATTTTGGAGATACGAGGTTTTGTTCCAACAACAGCGCATGTCAACTTTTACAAGTTTTTAATGCTATTTTGTGGCGGTTGCACACAGTTATTAGACATGCTGAAAGTTTTGGTTGCTCCTCTTTCACCCCTTATTGCTCACTAGCAGCTCAGCACAGAGTCACGACATTTCATAGAGCCAACAGTGTCCTAGATAATCTAATAACAGATTAACGGGAAAGATATTTTATTTAATTACATTGATTGAACATATCCAATTCAATTTTCCTTCCGCTGGGGGAATGCCCACCGCAGAAAGAGGCTACTAGTTCTACGTCCAGTTAGCTCTGTGTCCACCAACAAGGCCTGAATGACAGCTCTTTATCCAGAAGAATGGCTTAAAAGAGACATGAGTGCATCTCCAGACTCAGTTTCACACAGGAAGATAACAAAGCACCAGTGTGAACAGATGAAGGTCTGAAGAGAGAGAGATGGGATGATTGATTAACTCTCGGTCAGAAGCTCGTCTCTCACTACAGCAGGGCAGGTGTGTGTGTGTGTGTGTGTGTGTGAACAGAGAAAGCCTTGTGTGTGTTCTTGGACCAAATAAAATCAAATCTTGTTTCCTGCCATCTGTTTGGCTCAGACACACACTCAGCTGTAGCGGCTAAACACACACTCACAGGTTCGTAATTATACACATGTCAGGACCTGTATATGCTGTTGGAACAAAACCTTGTATCTCCATTTTTATTGTTTTTCAGTTTTTGACAATTTGAAAATGCCTTTTGCTATTTACATTGTGTGTAAATTTCATGATGAATGGACCAGAAGAAACGGCCCAAAATAACTTGGAAAAAATTCTGGTTCCATTGACTTACATTAAAAGTAAAGTAGGTTTTTTCCTTCTCCTGTAAAGTTACCATTTTGGAGATACGAGGTTTTGTTCTCAAAGCAGCGATATATATACATATATATGTATGTATGTATATATATATATATGCACACTTTCAATATGATGTATTTTGTATTTTGTAAATATTTGAATTTGATGCCTGCAACACTCAAAACATTCCACAGTAGGCAGGTGAATCAGTAACAGGCGAAGGAATCTTGATTGGGCATAAAAGGAGCATCCACCAAAGGCTCAGTCTTTGCAAGCTGGGTTGGGTCGTGGGTCACCACTTTGTGCCAAACTGTGTGAGCGAATTGTCAAACAGTTCAAAAGAACATTTCTCAATGCAAGATTGCAAAGAATTCAGGTTAAGAAAAGATTAAGGGAATCTGGAGAAATCTCAGTCCGTGTTGGGCAAGGCTTGAAACCACTGTTAAACCACTGTGACCCTGCGGCACTGCATGAGAAACTGTCATGCTACTGTGTTAAATATAGCCACATGGGCTCAAGAGTACTTCGGAAAACTGTTGTCACTTAACATCGTCCGCAGCTGCATCAAGAAATGCAACTTGAAAACCTGTTACCGAAAGATAAAGCAATGCATCAGTTCTGTGCAGAAATGCCGCTGAATTCTCTGGGCCTGAGCTCGTCTCAGAGGGTCCGGACGACAGTGGAAACGTGTGCTGTGGTCAGATGAGTCCACATTTCATGTTCAGATGAGTTCACGTTTCCGGGAAAACAGATGCTGAGTTCTCTGTGCCAAAGACCAAAGAGACCAGACGTTTATCAGAGAAGGTGCAAAAGTCAGCATCTGTCATGGTACGGGGGTGCATCAGTACCCACAGCATGCATATATGTGAAGGTACCATTGACGCAGATTTAGATATATTGGGATTTTAGAGACGTATGCTGCCACCGAGGTGTCTTTACCTGCGAAGTCCTTGGTTATTTCAGTTATTTCAGCTCATCCTCACATATATATATATATAAATATGTGTGTGTGTGTGTGTGTGTGTATATATATATATATATATATATATCCTGTGATAAGTCCCGTTTTTGTCTGGTTTTACTGCAATGTCAAGACCTTTTGGTTCTAAAAATATATGAAAACAAGGGCACACACACACACACACACACACACACACACACACAGTTGCCCATTTGTTGTTTCTGTATGTTGTCGGAGTGAAAACTCGAGCTGAAAGGAGAGGAAGTGGTTGCCGAAGGCACGAAAGGAAGCCTCTCTCACTCATAATCACTTCATCTTTCTCTTGTTTGCTTTTACAATACATGATTCATGAATCTTGTAATTTATCAATAGTGTAATAGCGCGAGGCGTCTTTGTGTGCGTTTCTCATTCGGCTCGTTCTGCTTTGATCCTTCTGAAGAAGTCATTTCAGTCCTCCCTCAGCGTGTTTGGTATCAGCTCACTCTCGTGCTAATGCACTTCATCATCAAACAGATGGAAATGAGTTTTCATAAAGCGCTCAGGCAAGTGTGTGGCTGGATGACTGGAATATTGCATCAAATGTTTGCCATAGCCTAGTTTACTTAATGTTCTGTCAGACGGAGGGAGAGTTGCCACAGAAGTAGCGCGTTGTGTGTGTGTGTGTGTGTATGTGTGTTTGTGTGTGTATATTGCTGTTGTTGGAGCAAATCCTCGTATCTCCAAAATGGTAACTTTACAGGAGAAGGAAAAAACATGCTTTACTTTTAATGTAAGTCAATGGAACCAGAATTTTTTCAAATTTTTTCAAAGTCATTTTGGGCCGTTTCGCTTGGTTCATTCATCTTGAAATTTACATACAATGTAAAGAGCAACAGACACTTTCAAACTGTGTCAAAAACTGAAAAATGAAGATATGAGGTTTTGTTCCGACAGCAGCGGCGTGTGTGTGTTTGTAGTTTTACGTTAAGTGACCCTTATTAGTCCCACAATGGGGAAATTTCACCTATGCATTCTAACCTATCCGTGCAGTGAGACACCACATACACACTAGTGAACACACACACTAGGGGGCAGTGAGCACACTTGCCCGGAGTGGTGGGCAGCCCTATCCACGGTGCCCTGGGGAGCAGTTGGGGTACTTGTCTTATACTTTGTTACCCTGTTCTTCAATGGTCAGGACCCCCAAAGGACCCCCACAGAGCAGGTATTATTTGGGTGGTGGGTCGTTCTCAGCAGTGCAGTGATGAGTATTGTTTATTTTTTGTAATAAGAGTAACCAAAATCAATTTATTTGTAAGGATTTTGGAGGACCCCCCATCCAGAGAGGGCCCTTGTTAGTCAGGCCCATCATTACCCGCGGCCCGATGCCCCAGTACGTTTACATGTGCATATGTATGTATAGAAATGTGTTATAATGTGGCGCATAATTTATGGACATTCTGTCTCTCACAGGATGAGATCCTTACGGTGATCCGCAGAGTGGACGAGAACTGGGCAGAAGGCATGCTGGGAGATAAGATTGGGATTTTTCCCATCCTCTATGTGGAGGTGAGTGAGTGGATGCTTATCTTTGTCCATAATGTAAAGATCTGGAATGAGTTACTGGCTGAGACGTGTTTAGAAACGTGGGATGCTTCAGGATTTTGGGTAAGGATAGTCCAGCCCTCCATCAGCTCTGCGAAACCAGAGCAAAGATAAATCAGACGACTTTCAGCAAAAATAACTAGTGGTTGATCAGCGAAGTACGACAGCATTTTAGGGCCGCTGTTAAAAAAATTAAAAATAGTAGACTTTGAGAATAAAGTCGTAATATTTCAATAATAAAGTTGTAGAATTACGACGTTAAAGTGGGATATTACCAGGAAAAGCGGCAGTGTTGTAGCCAAAGGGTTTGCCAAAGGAAGGCAGCACCTCCTCGTGTTAAATGAGGGGTGTTGAGTTGGTGGAGTTCTACTTTCATATCGATTCACCCATAAAGAAACACTCAGTCTCCCTGTCTCTCCTGCACATCAGCACCAGATCGTGATTAGTATAAGAACCGGCTGAAACGGCTGAGCAGGAAACTGTTTATCTAGAATAAAGAGCCAGACGGACTCGGAGGAAACTCTCTGTCTGTGTTGTTGAAGGAGAATCTCAGGCAGGGTCGTCTGCCCGGCTATCGGGGCTCCATCTGAAGATGTCACAGTTTCACAGGAGACAATGAGAACAGTAATCAAAACGATTGATCAAGAAGGAGTGAGCGGAACTCACCAAGCCCCCCCACAATTAGCCCACTTTATCCTCGAACCATCACGAGTTTATTCTTGTAACATTACGACTTTATTATCAAAATATCCTGATATCATTCACAAAATATTATGATTGTACTCTAAAGATACGACTTAATTCTCGAAATATTCCGACTCCTCTATTATTTATATTTTTTCAACAGTGGCCTTAAAATGCCGTCGCAGCAAAAACACATTTGGTGTCTGAAGTTGGCTTTTTTAGTCTTACCGCTGGAGCTACGAGGCTAATGTAGCTAACAAATAATGGAAGCTTATACCCCATCAGTTAGCATTGTGCTGTTGCTGTTTTTAGCTACACTTATATACTTTAGTCCATGTTTATTGATAACAGTGACTCATACAGTGTCAGAAACCACGTAATCAAGTGTACGAGAGATACTGAACACCTCCAGACAGTGTGTGATGATTTAGAGATCTAATTGGCTGAGAATTACCTTCCATTACTTGCTAGCAGCATTAGCCTTTTAGCTCCAGTGCAAAACTTCACACACCAGAATTGTGAATGTGAATTTCAAATGTTTTCCACCACAATGCAATGATTTTGTGTTTTGGGTGGGAGACTAAAGTGGCTGGGGGTCTTATTCATTGCCAGAAACCGAAATGCTGGGGGTGGTGGGGGGACTGTGTCTCAGAACGCTGCCTCAGCAGTTTAAGGCTGTCATAAGGGCCGTGAGGCGATGCATTATGGGTCATATATATTGATTTAGAGCAGAGGTGGGGGTTATTAAAGGGAGGGAGAGAGAAAATGAGTGAGAGAGCGGTGAAGGAGAGGGCAGAGGGGATTTCAGATAAACGCTGTGGTTTAAAAGACGTTCTCCAAACCACCTGGAACAACACAGGCTGTATAATTACCCTATCAGTGCCCCTCCCACAAGCGCATTCTTCTGTAGCTACTGTTGCGAGGTTGTAGCTTTACAGACCGCTGGGAAAAATTCCATTCAGCCTGATGAGAAACTGTAGATCAGACTCAGTTTATATCACAATACCTACATTTAGAGTCGGTTATTCATTCAGCCTAATGAGAAACTGTAGAACAGACTCAGTTTATATCACAATACCTACATTTAGAGTCAGTTATTCATTCAGCCTAATGAGAAACTGTAGAACAGACTCGGTTTATATCACAATACCTACATTTAGAGTCGGTTATTCATTCAGCCTAATGAGAAACTGTAGAACAGACTCAGTTTATATCACAATACCTACATTTAGAGTCGGTTATTCATTCAGCCTAATGAGAAACTGTAGAACAGACTCGGTTTATATCACAATACCTACATTTAGAGTCGGTTATTCATTCAGCCTAATGAGAAACTGTAGAACAGACTCGGTTTATATCACAATACCTACATTTAGAGTCGGTTATTCATTCAGCCTAATGAGAAACTGTAGAACAGACTCGGTTTATATCACAATACCTACATTTAGAGTCGGTTATTCATTAAGCCTAATGAGAAACTGTAGAACAGACTCAGTTTATATCACAATACCTACATTTAGAGTGAGCTGTTCATTCAGTCTGTCAGCTACTTTTTTGGGAAAAAGGGTTTTGATGTTCCTGAATGTTCCTACACCCTAGACATTTGTCCAGGGCAAAGCTTGGCCACACGTCATCGAGTTTGAATTCTGCAGTGTCTTCATGAAGCTCTAGCTAAAGCTCTGTCAAAGAGAAAAGCCAGTTAACCGCCAGACGGCTATAATAGATATGGATTATGCCAGCAGACAGCCATATATCATTTCCATTCTATACCAGTGAGGCAACACAGGGTTAGAATTACACGTCAGTCCATAAGGCGACCAGACACGGCCACCAAGAGAGAGAAAGAAAACAATGAACGAGTGGTGCACAGGAAGAGGGAGAGGGGGAGAAATAGAAGTAGAGAGCGTGCAGGAGGAGCAGAGGTCAGCTATTACAAAGAGAAGCATCAATAATTTAGCATCTTCCATCATTACGTATAGACAGACCTTTGGGGGGATGGGGGCTGATGGGCTTTGTCTGATGGAGCATGGGTGAGCAGCCTGATTGACGGGAGGATGGATGGAGGGAGCAAGGAGGTTCTGGAGCAAAGTTGTCCTGAGAATGGTCAACCAACCAAATAATATCTGGTCAACAGCGGCCCTGTGGGCAGAAACTGACCAGTGGTGAATGAGGTAGAGGAGGGCTGCTAAATTAGGCAGCAACAGATAGACTACAGTAAATAACTGGAATCCTATACAGCTCAGTGCCACCCAGAGCAGAATGGGCTCCTTTTGGAGCCTTGGTTCCTCTCACGGTTCTTCACATGTTCTTAGGGAGTACTCACTTTCCTCTCAGTGGTTCCCTTTCCTCTCAGTGGTTCTTCAACATGTTCTTAGGGAGTTCTGCCTTTCCTCTTTGTGGTTCTTTCTAATGTTCTTAGAGAGTTTCTCTTTTTAAATCTTGGCTTCTCTCAGTGGTTCTCCCTCATGTTCTTAGGTAGTTCTCCCTTTCCTGTCAGTGGTTCTTCCACAGGTTCTTAGTTAGTTCTCCCTTTCCTCTCAGTGGTTCTTCTCCATGTTCTTAGGTAGTTCTCCCTTTCCCATCAGGGGTTCTTCCCTATGTTCTTAGGGAGTTCCCCCTTTCTTCTTAGTGGTTCTTCCCCAGGTTCTTAGGGAGTTCTCCCTTTCCTCTCAGTGGTTCTTCCCTATGTTCTTAGGGAGTTCTACCATTCCTCTCTGGTTCTTCCTCATGCTCTCATGGAGTTTCTCTTTTGAGTCTTGGTTCCTCTCAGTGGTTCTTCCTCATGCTCGTTTCTGCCTCCGTCTCCCGCAGTGGTTATTGTACGCCGTCTCTTTCTACCCCTCCGTCTCTCTCGTCTCATTATGATGAAGATTTAACACGTCTAAACTAATCCAGCAGATTCTGGCTGCTGTGGGATGATGATGTTCTCCTGAAGGACGGGAGAGGGAGGTTAATAGGTCACACAGGAGCGCTACTCTAAATGTGTTTGGAACTTTCTAGGCTAAACGTTCTTCTCTGAGTTTCTTCCAAAGATACTTTGGCCCATTTATGTAAATAGAGCCTCCCGATGGGGCTGAATTTCCATGGCCAGTGCTCTTCAGTGGAGAATGAGAAAATAAACCCAGTTTATCTTCCTTCTCCATCAGGTTCATCAGCAAACCTGTTCTCAGCTAGAGTGTTACAGAGCCATCAGACTCAGCAAGGCAGACGCTTAACCCCCAAAAACTGTCTGTCGGCCTGTGGGTTTCCTCCGTTCATTAACATGCAGGTTGCATTGCTACAGTTCTGTCGTTAACTTGTTTGTCAGGATCTTGTCTCTGAGGATCAGGTGAAACTGTGGTTCTCTGCAGCGCCATCTACAGCTGGTTCCTAATAAAAGTCCTTATACTTTACTCTATCATCCCCTTACCTCCAATGTAGCCAATCAAACAAAGACATGTTTGGTGTCTGAATTTTGCTTGTTTAATTTTGCGCTGGAGTTATGAGGCTATTGTAGCTAACAAGTTATGGAAGCTTATTCCCCACCAATTACCATGGCGCTAGCATGTCTAAATCATTGTATACTTGCCTTAAACTGTTTGGAGTTGTTAACCTCTTATTCTCCAGGGTGTATTTTGGTTTGTCCATCTGAATTTACGTGACCAAATCGTAAGGCAAATTATTCAGTAACTGCATGAAATAAATGCAAATTTTATTTAATTAATTGATTTATTTATTTTGTAAAAGCTCCCCTCAAATTAACAGAACGTGTTTTATGATCACACATATTGCTATATGCTTACAGTTTACTACTGAAAGCCAAAAATCTTAGACGCTCTTTGTATTATTTTATAAAACTAGTTTTTACAGAGCAGATCACTGAAGAGACGCCATCTGTTTATAGTTTATAGCCCAGATTTGTGGAAAAATGGCTCGACTTTCAGAAAAAAAATAGTGAGTTCAGCTTCTTTTATTATAAGGGTTTAAAATGACATCACCATCTAATGACATCACCTCTCATATGACCCCCACCTTGAGAATGTAGCTTATGAAATATGAAAGTTGAAGAATATGACGAAGTGCGTTTTGGAACCACCGGTGGTCTCAAGGAGTTGAAGAAGTAGCATCTAAAAGACTTGAAGAAGTGGTTTATAACACTGCATGACATAATATTACCTTTAAACATTTACTGAGCATAACTTAAAATGGTATAGGCAGCTGTTATGAAGTCAAACTTTGGTCTGTATATGAAAAATGCTTGCCTATCGTGCTAATTGGTGGGGTATAAGCTTCCATTACTT